GACATAATTTCCTACTCAAAAAAGTAATTTCTTCGATTGAACTTTGACACAAACTGACCTTAAAAGTCCCTAAAAAAAAAACCCTGCTCCCTCACTTCTGATTCCTACCCGAGCGAGCACGGCACCCACGAAAAAAAGAGTCCTTAAAGCGAAGTTTCGTTGCTTGAAGGTGTCATTTTTTCTCAGAGGGGTAAGTTGGTATTTTTTTAAACTCTTCCTTTGCAAATTTGTCCGTTTACGGTGTGTTTTCAATTCGATGACACCAAAGTAATTACTGAATTTTACGCGACGATGGCATGTAGCAGCCACTTTTTCAAAACTTGAAATAATTTACCTAGGAGCAAAAATATTCCTTTCAGTACCCCCCTAAATCACTCTATGTGCGTGCACCGCAAGTAAAAATGCTTTCCCCTTAGCAACGCGAAAAAAAGGTCTGAGGGCCCTTAAATGAAAGTCTCGAAGTTAAGGATCGAAGTCCAATGGGGACCTCATTAAATAGCCAGGATTTTTGATAGTAAAAACTCTTTACCCCAAATTAGAAGCCGACTTAAGACAATTTTACTTGAAAACCATTGTTTCTTTAAACAGAATGATGGAATCTTTCAAAATACGACTTAAAGGGGGAGAAAACATTATTTTGAAGACATTCAAAGACCAGTTACCCGCTTTTGCGCGTAACTTTGATTTCTATTGATGGAACTTTTAAGACCCTTGTTTCCAGTGATTGTTAAACTTCTTTGTTCAATGTTCTTTATGAGACTTTTTTGGGTGTCTGACCAACCAAGACCAAGTGACGCAGCATGTGAACGTTTGTAGAATCATAGTGATATAGATTGTCTTAGCCCATTTTTGATCGACAGACGGGCGAACTGACCTTAAAAGGTTAACTCTTCTTGCTGCTTTCTTGTAAGTTGTATCAAAATACATGTATGTATAAGGCTCAGTTTGATTTAGGTTTAGGTCTATGTCTAGGTACTTGCGCGAAAACTCTCTTTAACAGAGATATTTAGTTCCTTTTCTTAAAGGCTGATTCTTTATAGTTTCAGTCTTGCCATTTTTTCAGGTTGATGATCAGTTTACTATATATATCTTCGAGTCAAATTTCTACGATGATTCTAATTTCCAATATGATTTCGTGTGGACTGTCAATGTCCTGTTGAAGGGAGACTGAAGTGTCAGTGTTCCCAGCAAAAAGTTGACACTAGACGAAAAGGTGGTATTATCAGCGAATATATCAACAATAGCTAAGGGTAGATGGTTAATGAAAGTAAGAAATAAAAGGGGGCGTACAATGCTTCCTTGAGGGACGCAGTGTGTAACACTGATTCAAGTCGAGTTGGTGCCGTTTATGCTGACATACTGCTTTCGATAAGCAAGATTTTCTAAACAATTGTAAGTTAAAATCGTCGATTTAATATGCCTTAAGTTTAGCAAGAAGAAGGTTATGCCCTATTAAAGTCAACGCACATAAGACCAGCCACATATTGTTGTCAATATCAAAGAGCAACTGGTTCTACTTTAAATCGCCGGGATCAATGCAGTTTCGATCGGTTGAATTCTCTTTTTCAAAAACCGTACTGCAATCCATACAGCAGGTTATACCTAGAAAGGTACGAGTACACTGAGTCATAGATAGGCCTCTCAAAGCTCTTGGATAGAATCAGAAGAACCAAAATTGGACAATAATAAGAAAATCGGTGAATGTCGAAAAATTGTGTTCTCCGTTCTTACGCGGACAACCTCTTAAAATTCCGCGTGGAATTTTGCACGCCAAGCAAAGTGAAATGCAAACGTTCGACACCATAAGGATTTTTTGGGAATTTTTGTTCGCCGCTATCGCCCTTCCTTTAAATAACAACATTTGTTTGTCTGTTTGTTTTTTCAGAATGCTTTCAGATAATCCAGTGGAGATTATTGGATCAGATGCATTTAAAGTTCCAGGAAATGACCTATTAGTGTAGGTTTTTGATGTACTGTAATAAAGGAAAATGATTCTTTCCTTTCCTTTTTTCACTTGACTTTACTTTGTAATATATGATTTCTGGACTAAATCCTTGGTTTCCAATATTATCTATAAAAATTCTAGAATATGCTCTTGTTTTCCAGAACGCTTTTATTGACTCCATAATTGAGCAAGCAGCTCTAATTTCTATTTCAACTGCTGCACATCAATTTAGATGTAAACCTGCTTTCTTTGCATGTAACCTACATTCTTTCGGAGGGGGACATTGGGGGGTACCCAATACCGCAATACCGTAAGAAAAATTGGCAAATAGCGAAATACCGTGTTGAAAATCGACGAAATACCGATACCGCAAATATGATCGTTCAAGCTTACTTAAATTTGTAACAATCTCGCGTGTCTGTTTATCGCAAGCATGTATGCGCAATCAATCAACCTCAGCCATTGCGAAAAAACGTAAGAAGACCTCAAACTGATCAGTACAACCATCTAGAAAGCTCGGTCATTAGATGATCTTGGATTCCCTACCAGTTTTTTTAAAAATATATTGACCTGCTTTAGACAGCTAGGAGAGCGAAAATGAACAGTACCGCAATACCGTGAAGGATCTTCTTTTATCGAATACCGTTACCCAAAAGGATGAAAAACCGCATACCGCAGGGCAAGATGATACCGCAATACCGCACATTTCAATCAATATTACCGAAATACCGCTTGAAAAAAGCTCAATACCGCAATACCGTAAACCCCCATGTCCCCCTCCTTTCGCTATATTTCGCATTGCTTTTTTTGTGTGTTATTTTTTGTCCTGAATAATGTCACGTTCACTAACGTCACAAATCATAACGATTACCACAAAATCCGATAACGTGATTGTTGAGGATTGATCAAGGTTTATTTACTTTTTTCACGAAAGAAGTGTAGAGCAAAAACGAGACAGTTGAGTGTTTCTTCCTACTTCTTGAGTGTTCTAGCCTCTTTCTAAGCGCTTTACAACAGAACAGAGCACAGTCAAGGCTTCTTTATATGTTTTATGATAAAGAATCCGTTAAACTCCCCACGTATTGCTTTCTATTCCCCAAAACAAACTTTATTTTCACAGCGAACCAAAGTGTCGTCAGCATGTTATACTCTCATAAAACATGCTTAAATTAGCCAATCACAATCCTTTTTATAGAATGGCGAAATCTCGGATTTGACGGTGAGGATAAAAGAAGGAATGAGTTTGCGGAATGGCATGTGGCATGGCTTGCGGAATGACATAACTATGCGGAATTTAATTTATCGAAAATAGCGCAAACAAATAAATTAGTATAGGTAATAGCATGATTTGTAGTGATATTTGGCATAAATACCACGAGTGATATTTCAAAATTGTTATACGAAATTTCACGAGCCGTTAGGCGAGTGAAATTTGAGACAATTTGAAATATCACGAGTGGTATTTATGCCAAATATCACGTACAAATCATGCTATTATTTGTTTATACTACTATCCGTATAAGGTTTGTAATTTTCACATGTAGGTATTTCAAATTAAGGTGAAATAACAATGCTCTAAGCCAGTCAAATTGCAGAAATTTCTCATGTAGTAGTATAAAACAGGAAAGCACGCGTGCGTCTCTGCTGCGCCGTTTTTGGCGCCAATTTGAAGGAGCAACCGCTTTGCCGGTCCATTTATTACTGCTATTAAAACAAGGTTAAAAATTGAAACACAGCTGATAGTTCAAGTTCAAGATCAAGTTTATTAAAAACACTTTGGATACATACCATAATTAATCCTTGTCCGCAAAGTAGCCTATAGCTAATCGAGGCGGGAAGGAAAAGGAAAAAAAGCTACAATAATATGGTTGAAACATAACAATAAAGTTAAACAGATACACGAACATCAACACATTAAATTAACAAGACAGAGAATACATATATTTCAAAGTAAGTAAATGAAACAAGGTATGAATGAAATTAAACTGATAATTTAATATTTACTAAATATGTCAATAAAGTACGCAGGCCTGCATTAGTATCCTCCTGTATCAAAATATCCAGTAGCCGACTCTGTAAGGTATTCTTAAATTTATATTTAGGTAGAACACGATCACTGTCGAGAATACTATTCCATATTTTTGCACCAATTCTTGAAAAGGAGTTCTTCACTTGGTCCGTTCTCGAGTGCTTAGTAAGTCATCGATAACTTTTTGCAAAATAAACTGAAACGGTTCTTTACTGACGTCTCTTTTCCAGTGAAGCGCAATGAAAGTACGAAAATATGTCAAGTTTAACCAGTCTTCTATCGAGTTTTTACTCTCCTCATTACCTAGAAAAACATCGTAACGGTAGACGAGGTAATAGAACGGAGAAAGAGAGGACACTGGGAACGAGGCTGTTAGGAAATGGCAGACTCGGTAATCCCAAATGAAATAAACAAATATAAAGCTTCGCAAATACGTGCAGTAGTACTGTGTCGTAAATCTGTCTGGGTTTTTAGGGGTATATAACCTCTGCTTCCCCAGTGGCTAAACTCAAATCAAGGATGACTCTTAATAGAGAGGGATCTAAGGGGTAAGGAACGCTCGCTGAACGTGAAGTCGGGCTAGCTACAGTTCTAGGGATTTTTTAATACGGTGAACGAATCAGATCATATTGGAGACTAAATGAACGCCCCGAGTCAAACATTAATCTGTAATCCACAAATCGAGTGAAGCGAACTGCTCTCCAGTGTCTCCTTTCGACCTTTCCACGTCTCTCTGCACCGCCCTTGGTTGTGTCAGTGCCGGTGTGCGTTTGATGGTGAAAAAATGCTAAAAGTAGGAAGGAAAAAAAAAAGAAAAGAAAAGAAAAGAATGAAAGAGAAAAAGCACACAAACTCATTTGCAAGGATTCGAGCTCGTGCTTCTCCGCCAGCTGTTATTAGCTTCGCGCGCCTGAAACTTTTATTAACTTCATTGAAGCAACGAGAGTTCCACAAAATGCAGTCCTTGTCTCAATGGACGTTACGAGTCTATATACAAATATACCGCAAGAAGAGGGTATCACGACCATATGCCATGCATATGACACATTCTACACGACAACGCCCCCTATACCAACACACTATCTTAGAGAAATGCTGAGACTTATATTACAAGAGAACTCTTTCCAATTCAATGGAAAAGACTTTCTCCAGACCCATGGTACAGCTATGGGCACTAAAACAGCAGTCTCTTTTGCTAATATTTTCATGGCTAAGATTGAGACAGCAATTATCGATCAGCAAAGTACAAAGCCGTTGGTATGGAAAAGATATATCGATGACGTGTTTTCCCTATGGGACACTAATAGAGAGGAAATTAACAACTTCATTGAGCATGCAAATAACTACCATCCTACAATAAAATTCACTGCTGATATTTCCGATAAAGAAATCATCTTCCTTGATACATGCATCTACAAAGGAGCACGATTTGAAAAGGAATCTATCCTTGACACGCGTACTTATTTCAAGCCTACTGAGACATTCCAGTACACGCATTTTAAATCCTGTCACCCACCCGGAGTCAAAAAAGGCTTCGTGAAAGGTGAAGGCCTGAGACTACTAAGAACTAACTCTTCACAGGAGACTTTCGTAGAAAACATAAGAATATTCAAACTACGCCTTCGAGCGAGAGGCTACCCAAAAAACTTTATAGATAAAACACTCTCGGAAGTCAAATTCTCTGACAGAAAAAAAGCTCTCCAAGAAAACACAAGAGTACGCAAAGAAATATTGCCCTTTGTAACGCAATACAACCCATCTGTGCCTAACCTAAAACACGTTCTAATGGAGAAATGGCATCTTATAGAATTACAACCTAAACTTAAAGAAATGTTCAAAGAACCTCCGATCATCTCTTATAAAAGAGGCAGTTCATTAAGAGATATACTGGTTAAAGCCAAACTGTAGTTAATCTCTTTAACGCTACATGCAGAAGAGCAATTACATTCATGCGACACGTTTGCGGGATCTGTGAATGGCCTGTCACTATTTAATTACCACGTTATTTACCACGCAGCCAAGGAAACGAAATACAAGATACCGTCGATCTCTGAATATTATGTCACGATCACGCGACCCACCGTCTGAAAAAGAAACTCTTCTCACGTGGTTTCAAATGTAAATAAAGGTAAAAAAAAAAGTGAAGTTGATCGAGCAAATATCTTTTGCAGAAAAAAAGTTAAAGTAGAGGTGACCCTTCAAAACATCTCAAGGGCAGACTTTTGTGATGTAGAATCGGTGCTGCCATGCAGCCCGACTAACAAAGGCAAGCAGAATATATTTGATGCTGTGCGAAAAAGCTAATCGACCGTGAGAAATCAAGGAGTCCTTCCTGGCTTTTTGATGGTCATCGTTGTTGAGCCCGCAACATTAAAAAAGCGGCGCTTGTGAATTGATTGACGTCAAAAAAAGGGCGCAATTTTCAGTTTAATTTATTTCTTTGAGTCATTCTACTTATATTACATTCCACATAACTATGTCTTTCCTCAAGCCATGCCACATACCATTCCGCAAACTCATTCCCCTTTTTACCCTCACCGATTGATTGTTTGAATAAGACAAAAGTTGTCAAAGCATCAAAGCTATCACAAAGTGAAACGGGCGAAACGTTCAGTGAATTTGAATGCGTAAGAAATGTACTTTTTACGTCCTAAATTAAGTTTCTAAAGGTAAAAAGTGCTTTAAACCCGGACGAATTGCGGTTCACTAATGGACGTCGTTAAACATGACAATTTTCAATTGAAAGCAACCTGCTTTAGCCTCGTATCGAGAAGTGCCCTTGAAAACTGAACCTCAAAGTAAGCTTACCAAAAAATTCTATAAAATAGGCCACTTCCGAGTTCCAAAAACCCTCACTTTCAAAATGAGGCTAGGTGCACAACCTTTCTTGTGGAAATGAGTTTTATTTGCATGAGAATGAAAAATGATTTCCATATCAAAAGGCTGAGCACCTACCCTGGTTTTGACACAGAGACCCGGGGGAACTCGGAACTGGCCTCTTCGCCGACGTTTTCCCAGAAGTAATGCTGTGGTCTCGCGATCGTGTTTTGAGCTAATATTATGAATGAACAATAGCTCAAAAAAGATAGATAGAGAAGTTACTTATTGAAGACTTTTATTCAAAACTAAGTAGTTTATCGTTGAAAACAAGCAAAATCGGATGAGCGCATGGCAAAATTCAACACATAAATCTATCTATTTTGTAATTTTCTTTAGCGTCTATTACAAACGTTTGTGAAACATTTATACCTTACATAAATTCCCATTTAAAAACGTAATTTTCTTGACCATAGAGTAAAAAATGTACCTGCAAAGTCTTCAAAAACTTCGCTGCCTTGGTTGAATTTCAAAACAGGACATCTTGCGCTTCGCCGGGAAGAAAACTGTTGTTGAATTCCTCGAAGGACGATTTCGTAACCAAACGCTTTCTTTCGTGCACAAAAAGAAAACTGAACATTCATTCGAACTTTCCCTTTCCATTTTTGTCTTTTAACGGTGTACTTTTAACCCTGAAATGCAAAACTTATGTCTTGAAAACCACCCCATTCGATAACCAGTCTTCTCTCACTATACCTAATGCCTATGGTGTGATTCACGGATGGCGTGACAGCTTTAACTCCGTTTTTATACTCTCCGCATAAAACATGCTTTTTCAACCAATCTCATTGCGTGTTGTATCCGGCGGAAATTTATTATAATAAATGATAAATAACAGGTGACTCAGGTGGAGATCTGTCGCCTTCTGACCCACGAAAACAAGAACAAAAAATTCACTAAAGAGACAGTAGCGATAAAATAACTAAAGGTAGGCGAAGAAGCAAAAAAGGCCGAGAATGAATTAATAATAGCAGAGAACTTTTCAAGATTAAACAGGTTTCAAAAGATAGAAGTTAGGTAATAACAATGAAATCTCTCAAAACCAAAACCATGTAAAATACAGTGCTCAGTGTAGATCATGATTTAGAGATTTATTTCATCAATCAATTCCTTTATTGTCAATAGTCCTATTTTTATACCTTTTTAATTTTTTTTGGTATTCCAATTTAATACTGTTGCTGTTAATTCTGTTATTATTTAAGACAGGGAATAGTAAAACATGTGCTTAAGGGCGCTTTCCATTTGTCAGAACTGACCGGCCGGGCCATTCTCGTCGTAATAAGAATTTCACTTTTAATGAAAACTATCCAGCCAGATCAGTCAAATCCTAAATAGCATGCACAAAGGAAATAGGTTTTTATCAAAAACTCTTGGAAAAAACCTATTCCATTTTCAAACTCGCCAGTCCAGCAATGGCCAGTTCTGACTTTTGGAGAGCGACTCAAGTTGGTGACCGCCGTGGGTGATAAATTAAAGTTCTTTATTCGTTGTAGAAGGGTCTCTCCCACTGATAATTGTTATTGTCAAAGTTGCCAACAAAAAGATTCGTCAGGCTTGAACAAATTAAAAATGCAGGCGATGTGCATTTTCGCACTCTCTTTTAAGTCGATCCTTCTTCTCCTTTTTCCTAACTTGAAATGTTTTTCATTTGATTGACTTTGGTGCTGCCCACCCTCTAAGATGTTGAATTTTTTGTTTAGGAGAAAACTTTCACTTGCAGATACACTTATGATACCACCAAATCAAAACGGTGGAAATGCAGTGATCTATCATAATAAATGTTTCTTCCTTAATTTCTTTAAGATACGCGATACGAACAAACATAAAGACGGTTAGCCTTCGATCTTTCCACGGCATTCAGGACAACTTCACGACTAAAATGTAAGTACACTTTCTACACTTTTGTCACGCTAAGACTTCATTCTTCATCGCTAAATGGCGGGTGAAAAGCAATCCAACTATCTCGTCTAGCGTTGTCACAAATGTGATGAGTCAAGAGCCATAATGGGATGAGTTTAACAGTGAGATGTGGAGAATAATTACTTGTCATGCGTACACTTCCTAATTCTTTTATTGTTCAGAGGGAAAAATTGAGATTTCAGTCGCTCTTTCGTTAAAAAAGTGGACACTACCAAGCTAAATAGTTGCAAAGAGGTTAATCTTTTAACTTCCTGTACAAAACAGAATACCTGTAGTTTTCCTGCTACCTATAGACTCACCTAGGCAAAAGGTTGATTTTCCCCACGTCGTCGATGGCGCACAGGAGTAGGGACAATATACATGTGAAGCAAACTTTGCTTAGCATTTTTCCCCTTTCCCTCGCTGTTTTGCAGTTTTCTCTCATCAAAACAGTACAACTGAATAGTCTTTTTTTACAAAAATGTTTAAAACGTGTACGTGTCTGTCTGTAAAATTCGTCACTATTGCATATGACGGTCCACATTTAAGAGGAAATTTGAAGAATACAATAGCTTTCGCGGATTCACAAACAGAAAACAAACCTGTAAAAGAGGGTCTCATTAATGGGGTGTTGGCTTTTACGGTTATCGGCTAAAATTTTGGCTCTTTTAGGCTATCGGTTAATGTTTTTCAGTTACGAATAACAAAAAAGTTAAAAATTAATTTATTTTGTTTCAGAGTTAAATATTAATAAACCTGCATTTTTTGCATCTTCAAAGCAAAATTAAGGTCTTAGGATCATCTCGGGATAAAAGGAAGCTATTCTTTTGAAAAATTTAACATTTGATAGATGATACTTTTACAAAGTATTCCACTTCTAACAGTGTTTTACGCATACAGTGAAACCTGTATTAAGCGGACCCTCGGGGAATGCTGTGGTGTCCGCTTAATACAGGGTGTCCGCCTGATACAGGTTTCGATAGATAACGTTATATGAGGTGTCAAATGCCATTCAAATGAAAAATGGAAATAGAATACTCCCAGAGAATACTCCCAGAGACTGCGACGATGTACGTTTGCATTAATTTCTTCATCAAAGTGGACCAATTGATCGTAGTACCATAAACATAGACTGCAACTCAAATTTGAAGAAATCAGACGAGTTAAACAAGCTCTATACAAACAAAACGAAATAGAAAACAATACTGTACTGTGAAACTAATCAAATAAGCTCGCCAAAATTATGTTTTTTAATGTGAAATCGAAAAATTTGTGGGTGGCAATTCGAGGCAATCTTTCACATTTCCGATGTCTAGCGTGTTGGGTGGTGGAAATTAATTATAAGCGTCCGTTTAACACAGGTTGGAAACAATAGAAATGACCCTTTCAGGTAATTTTTAGGGGTCCGCGTCCGCTTAATAGAGGTGTCCGCTTAATAAAGGTTTCACTTAAAGTAAATAAGGGAAATAAATTTGGGGACTTCGGCTAGTGTCCGCTTAATAGAGGGTGTCCGCTTAATACGGTGTCCGCTTAATACAGGTTTCGCTGTATAAAAATGTCAATATTCAATTTAAAAATAATCTTTGTGAAAAAGCAAAAGCAGACACGCGAACGCCCAACTCAAGGCTGGGTGGGGGGGGGGGGGGGGG